AAGTTTCAAGTCAAAAGGTAAAATGGTTTTCCACTTATCGTGTTATCGGTGCTGCATATATGCTGAAAAAAGTGAAAAAACAGCATAAATTCCCTAAAAGTGACCCGATCATGCTGATTTTCCAACTTGACCTGCGTATTATGAATATTCATCAGTTCTGTAAGTTTCAAGTCAAAAGGTAAAATGGTTTTCCACTTATCGTGTTATCGGTGCTGCATATATGCTGAAAAAAGTGAAAAAACAGCATAAATTCCCTAAAAGTGACCCGATCATGCTGATTTTCGAACTTGACCTGCGTATTATGAATATTCATCAGTTCTGCAAGTTTCAAGTCAAAAGGTAAAATGGTTTTCCACTTATCATGTTATCGGTAAAAGTGCACGGCGACGGCGACGACAGCGACGACAGCGACGACGGCGATGACAGACGCAGATGATGGCTATATGTACAGACACATCTGTGTCTGTACATAAAAATTAGATGTGGGCATCATCCTCTTTCGTCAGTCTGATGTCTGTAATGCATCAAGTACCCTATTATTTCATTTGCTCCAAATGAAATCATCAAATTTTACTAATTTTTCTTGCAACCTTTGATCAAATATAAGGTTTCTGTCATTGATAACCATACACCATATCCAGATAATTTCTCCCAATATTTTACTTCCAAATTTTCTATTACTTCCTTGACAATTTAAATTTGAAATTTTCCACATTAAAGGTGGTTCCATTTTATGCATTCATAAGGAACATCAGAGCATAGCCAAATTCGACTTCTAAAATTTCTGCTGGTTAAATCCTTTCATCAAAACATTCACACTGCACAATAGTTTTTTGTTCTCTTTGTTTTGGTGGGATTTTCCCTATATTGTTTGCACAATGATTTTGGCTATTGAAAATACGTTGAAACCATACTTTTAGGTACAAGAATGCAGGATCCCTTTAGAAATTGACCTTTAAGTCACTTACACTAGTAAATTTCGACTAAAAGTGAAACAAAGAATAAAAGGAATAATAGAAAAGTGCATGAATTTCACCACAAAATGTGCAAAAGATTTGAAGAAATATTTCAATATAACTGGCTCTAAATACAAGAACTGCATTTTTATCAATTAAAACCTCCCAATAATTAATTAGGAAATCAATTAAACTTAAAAGTAAATTAAAAGCAGGGGTTAAAAGCAGGGGCCACAGTTTGGCAGCAGACGCTTTAATGATGCATGCAACATACCACAAAGAATATAATTGCATTAACTAATATCAAGTTATATGATGAATCTCAAATCTGAACTTATTTCTTCTTTATTACAAAACTAAAACTCATACTTAACTACCAAAGAAGAAAAAATACATCCGAGCAGTTATGGGTTTTGAAGAGCAAGTGGTAGATATGGAAGACATGGGCAAATACTGGAGACCAGACTCAATTCATACACACTCTTAAATAATAAGATAGCCTTACTGTAACTTTAAAATAATCAAAAAGATAAGTAATTTAAAAAAAACACTACAGATAAATGAAGTACCAGTCTTTCAGTATTCATATGTTTTATAAAGGGAAAAAAGTACTTCCCTCTCACTAGGAAGGTTGAAGAAAGTTTTGATAATGAAGCAGCTTTCAATTATACAAAAAAGTAGACTTTCCAGAACCAGTTAATTTCTTTATCATAGGTAATAAACACTAAATAAATACTTATATGGATAAGACCAAAAAGAGGGATAAAAGGCAGACCAGGAAGTTGACATATTTGCTTCAACTTCTTCAAAATTTGATCAGTTCCATAAAAACTCATCTAACGTGCATATAAATTCCAGAATCTCCATTAAAAGTCTCTTTATACACATAGTTCACAAAACCTTGCATTCCTTCAATATATTCTTCCATTTAAGGATATTCATATTTTTAAAATCATTTGTTGTTAAAGTAAATAAAACTGACCTACCAAACACGTCCACCTGTTGGAACTGCCCACCCCTTACATATAATAAAATGGATGTAGGGAATGTTACCAAACAGATGGTGAGACCGTGACAGGCAGGTACACTGGTATGCAAAACAGGTATGTACTGTTGCAAAAATATCTTGTAGATAAATTTGTTTTTGCATAAAAAAATTAACTTTTTAAATTAAAATTTACCACATTAGGTTCATAATGCATGTCAACAGCATCCTAAACTGCATTCTCATGCTTAATTTTTCCTTTGCCAAAAAGCTTTCATTTAGATGAGTACAAATTTCATTTACAACTTTGCCATATGTATCCTATCTAAAATAAAGCTGAAAGAGTTATCTAAATTCCTGTTACTAACTCTATTTTCACTATTGTTCTCTGCATAAAGGTATTTGAATTATATAAATTCTTCATGGGAAAAATACAAACGAGACAAAATTGATTTTGTAACACTTGATTAAGTAAGTATGATTATTTTGAGTCAGTAAACTGAAATTTTAAAATCTCAGATTAATGTTGCAATTGGTTATATTCTATTCATTTAAGTAAAGGGAGTAAAATCCTGTTTTTAAAATATTAATTTTTGCAAATGCCAGAATACATGCTTTTTTATAGGCTACAATGGGGAAGTCATGGAGTAAGCACAAAATGTGCCCCACAGTGATGACAGCCATAGCTGCAGATGACACCAATACAGTTTCCACTTACATTCAAACAGCTAAACAGCAACAATGCCTGACCCCTGACTTCTGGCGCCATCTCCTGCTCACTGCTGTGCGCGAAAAATCAATCAACATTGTTAAAATGGTACTTAAAGATGAAGACAGAGCAGACCTATCTGCTGATGGAACAAATCCTTTAGTTGTAGCCCTGTTGCAAGCTCAATGCTCTACTGATGTAAACATAATCAAGGATATAGTGATGGCCGATTTACAGGAGAATTTGCAACAAAACATTCCTTTCGATGTCATCACGACGTGCCTGGATCCCAATCTTCAGGAGTTGTCTACAATTTTGAACATAGTTCACTCAGTTCACCATCACTCATACTCCATCCACATGCACGCCATGATACTGCATGCTGTAGTCACTTATTTCCCAACCCTCATGCCGCCATTACTGGAACGAGGAGCTGATCCTACGGGACTAACCAACAAACATTTTTTCATGGACGTTGAAAAATTCTGGGCTTTTACACGATTCACAATGCATACTAAATACATGATACCAGCCCAACACTTAGAAACCTTCATCCACGCTGCAAACAGTACAGAAGCCTTGGAGATAATTGCTAACATGGTGCTGGAATTATTTCAGCATGAAAGAATTTCAGTTAGTGCTACTCTGCCATTGTTGGAGCTTCTGTGCGAAACTGGTTACAGGTTTCCAAGTTACCACATAAAATGGATACAAAATGGCATCCCACGTAACCAGTTTCCAGAATTCGGCGCACAACCAAAGCCTTTAATGCAGCTTTGTCGCACTGTCATCCGCAATTCAATGACGCATAACGTACTTTACAGTATCAAGAGACTCGACTCTTTACCTAACATATTAAAAACCTTTCTGTCTCTAAATTAACTAGAAAATGATCAATTGCACTGGAAATATTAAACCTATCCAAATATGCGCATTTCAATATCATCAAAATTCAACTTCAATGCACTATAATTCAGTATCGTCATGCGTTGTGGATTTTAAAGAGCATTTTCCACTTTAATACACAATAATACTAATTTTGTAAGTATAAAAATAATTTGTACATACCTGATGGGGCAATTCAGGCAAAACACCATCTCTGTATGGTAGAAGAAAACAATAGGGTACGAACTCAAGGTTACCAAAGTCTACAAAACGCACCATAGCTCCTTTCTGAAAGATAATGCATAAGAAATTTGGGTCTGTTTAAACGATGTCTTTGAGCAGCAAATGCATTATTACTTTTTGTGAATTCACACACACACACACACACACACACACACACACACACACACACACACAAAATGGGCTATAATTTAAGTCATAAAGAGCTCTTCGAGGGGAGGAGAGGGGAGGGTGGTTGGTATTTCGGCAAGTTTAATGGGAGAACCAATTTCTTTGGATGCAGTTTATTCCTTTATGTTTATTTCTATTTTAGTTTTGTTTTCAAGCAACATTCATAAAAATCTGTACATGTCACAAATGTTTAAAATGTAAGTTTGCATCTTGAAATAAAAGATATAAATATGACAAAGTTTATTTGGTACAAAGCTGAGTCACTGTGGAAGCATTTTCTTCAAACATACTTTAATGAAAGCATAAGTAAAAGATGTGACAGCATTCATTAAGTCTAGCGAATATGTGGACCAAGTTGTACCCAGGTCCTCCACTAATCTTTTTTTTTTCCAAATATAAAATTTCAATGTACCAAGATTTATAACATAGATAACAAGTTAGTTTTACCTAAACAAAATCTTCCCCTTATCTTGCTAGTTACTTCAAGCTCAAAGAAATTAGTATCAGGATGCATTAATCCATAACATTCACCTGTTTAGTGATTATCTCTTATCTGCCTCATGATTCTTGTTTGGAGAAGTTAAATACTTCTTTTCATATAACTTACTTTGGCACAATTTGTCTCTTCATTGTATTGTATATAAAACATTAAATTAATCTCATTGAGTATTTTCTGAGTGAAGTAGCTATGTGAAACAAATAATTTTTCCATTCTGTTTATTTATTCACCTTTTCATATTCAGCATCTGTCTTCAATATGCTGTCCTACCACATACCCTCAAAAGGGGAAAACAGGTACACGACTATAAAGCCCACATAAGAACACTACACATGCTTTAAACCTCCTTGAATTGTACTTATTAAAACATACACCACTGGGGAGCTTGCTACCCCTCTACCACCCTCCTATGTAAAGCAAGTCTCTGCAGCTACCAGTAGAATTGATAAAAGACAAAGTTATCCAATCATCATGTAAATCACAATGAGATAAACTAAGGGAAATCCTCATAACACTCAAATGACTACTTTGCTCACAAACCTTTGCTTTTCCAACAGGAAGCTCTTCCACTCTAGCTCTGTACCACATGTTGTCTGCACTGAAGCGCGCAAAACACAGCTGTCCAACTTCTGGTGGCTCTGGATCCATCTGTGCATACGTCTGCCAGTCTTGGTGTTTTATAAATGCAAATCTGAAAAGAAATTCTTCAAATGTAGGGCCAATTTTAATATTTCTTACCAATGCTGAATATTTGACAAAATACAAATAAAGAAAGAAAGAAAGAAAGAAAGAAAGAAAGAAAGTGCTTACTTTGAATCACAAATCCTTTTTTCAGCTTATCAAACTACCATACAAGCTCACCATTTGAAGTATTCTAAAAATTCTCACACATACAACATATAACTTGTGTAGATTTTTGTTCTATCCAAACCATCCAATTTTTAAAATAATTTGTATATCTATAAAACATAAGTTGAAATGCATCTACAAAACAAGTGCAGCACGCAAGGGTTGCTGACCTAATCGCTATGCACATCTTCTCCAGAGTATTCCAGGCATGCTTGGAGAAGTCTGGCTGTACCCAGAAGTGGCCATGTTTACTGAGGAGACTGTTCACATACACAGACATTGTATCTCCTGAGGAAATGAAAAGAACAAAATGTGAATTGAACAAAAATGGCTTTTCTAATTCTAAAATGCATAGTCATTGGTTCATACAGGAATGCTAAGAACAAATTCAAGAACTTTTAAACTCTAATTGAAGTACTTTTCAAGGAGGTTTTGAATGCAAATGAATGCAATGTACTGTCATTTGTAAGTGTACACACTTAACTAAAAAATAGTCAAGTAATATTTCAAATAAACTTTGCATTTAAATAATGTCCATGATATAACATGAAAATAAAAAAAAAGTTATATGATATTCATTCTTCCCTCCTGTGAATTATGTCTACATTCAGATTTAAAAGATTTGAAATATTTAATAGCAATTTTAAGTAGTCTTCAAGGCCACTAACTAAATTCAAGGTGCAGGGCTAAATTCAAGCACTTTTCAAAGCTGCATGAACCCTGATTTGCTAATGTATGGCTACAATGGTCAGGTGTGATGTCAGAAAAATAATCAGAATATGTATGATTTCTTTTAAATTGTAAAACGAGCAACTTATATTTTGTCTATCTGTTAAACATTAGTGACTGGTCTAGACCAAACTGCCTAAAAATTGTTTTTTAAGGTATTAAAAATTTGTCATTTGAACAATTACAGCAATGATAATCAAAACATTTTTTAACTTTACCTTCTTGTGGTGGCTCTGTATCAAATTTCAAGTCTGAACCTGAAAAAGGCAAAATGGAAAACGTACATACATTAATCTTGGAAATCGACATTCAAATTCAAAGAAGTTAACCTATTCAAACCAAGACCAACAGTACAAGCACTTCAGGTGTCTAAAAATGGAACTGAATCATGCTATTAATGACCTTAGAGAATATCGCAAACATGTCATAGTTACACATACTCACAATTATTAGATGAAAATTAACCTGTAGTTTTGTCACTTACATTTGGCAATTTAACCTCTACATAATTTGAAATTGGGATGAAAGCCCTCAACTAGCTATGCTTTCAAAAGTCCGTGTAGAAACTGAAAAGTTTTAAATGATCCAACATTAATACTCACAATTTGTTTCACTGTGAACCTCAACAGCCTTCAGGCCATCAATGGCTTCCATGATATGAGATACTACCTCCTGTTTCAACTCCAGTCCCAGATCTAAGGAAGGCAGATTTTCCACAAGCACATCAGAGTCAAATGTTACTAGCTGAAATCCAAGAAAAGGAACAAGGAGTGTTTTTTAATCCTTAAAATGTTTTCAGCTGCAAATGATTTTTGCAATATCATTAAGTTTTGCACATGACTATTTAACAGACTAAATGAAGGTAAAACAGTTCCATTTCACACACACATGCACATCCACAAAGACTTTTGAGTATACTGTAGTTAAAGTGAAAATTAGCACCTACAGAATTTTTAAACTCTTCCATTTTAGATTCTTCTTCTTCTGACATAAACGGGTGCTGTTCCATAAAATGGGCACTTTCCAAACTCACCTGAAACACACATAGTTTCTGTGATTTGTACCTTATCTGACTAAACATGACTATGATGTTCAAAATTTATCTTGGCCTCAAAAAAATTTCATCAACAATTATTTGAATCTAGTTAACATTTTTACAGTGTGGCAGGCTTTAACAACAAATTTATACTTATATACTTTTGTTTCTCCATTTTGTTTTGTTATCCTTCGTAAATTACTTACTTTAGACACATTTTGAATCCATTCTTGGCACATGTTTTGGCACTGCTGAATTTTAGAGATTTTTTCACTGGTGGTATCTTTGAACTGTTTGATCACATCCTTGGCCTTAAGCTTTATTCTCTGTTGTGCTTCTTGGACCATCTGTTTTATACTTCTTTCTGCCTTCCAATTTCTGTTAAGAAAACTTACATATAATTATATCTATAGAGCACGCCAAGAGCACAGACCTCTGCTAAGGCAAAATGTTAATCATAATAAAAAAAAAATCAAAAATCATTTAAGAAATATATGGAAACCACTTCCAATTGTAATCACTTCTACCCTCTTTTAAATAACTGTTTATCCAGAATGTTACATCACAATTTATGAAGAACTTTTTGAGATACCTTGCTTACTAACAAACCAAATCTAATGAAATCAACTTCGCCATAATGATAATTTTAAGGAATACCAATGGATACCATCATTCACATTACACAATCAGGACAGTAGGTTCAAGTTCAAATAAAAAAAACTTTTGAAAAAAGGAAACATCCACTGAAAAAAATGAAAATGCTTTTTTAAAATATTACACTTGAACATAAGTACAAGAATAACAGATGGATGGATGGATGGATGACTAAAGGAAAAGTGAAGTCACACTTACTTATCATTAAGGTTGTGGACCATGACTTTAAATTCTTCTATCCTGATCTCGAGTTGTTCCTTCAAACTGAAAATAAAATGCTGTTCAAATAACATACAGTAATTCTGCAACTGTTCAAACTATTTTATTTCTTGTGGGAATTTGCCAGATGCCAAATAAATGACCTTGTTGATTTATTTATTGAAGGTAAAAACATAATTTAAATTTTATCTTACCCATGTCCCTCATGAGGTTAGTGAAAGTACATAAATAAAACATTTATTAAATAAATAAGCTAAAAGATTATTTTAAGACTATCAAAATAATATTAAAACAACTAAGACTATTAAAACAATAATGATAATAATAATAATCCTCATTTTTTGATAAAACATAAATAGGCAGACTTACCTTTCTAATGTTTTCACGTTTCTAATGTCATTATCAAGATTATTTACCTTACAAGGCTCTAAAGCTCAGGAAATATTGACATTAGTTTCATTTCAAATCTACTTTCATTTGAAGGATTTTATTGTTGTTAAGACTTTGGAAAGATCAATGGCTTTGACGTATTTCCAAATGCATACAGGATTCCTTAGATAATACTTTCACGTTTACATAACAAAAATATCTCAAATGTTTGACCTTGAAAATTCTTCTATCTTTGTCTGTAAATCTTCTTTCTTTTTCTACAAGACAAGAAAAATTTATAAAAACAAATATATTTGTACACACTTAGCAATATAACTATTCATAGCAAATTTTATAAATAGGGACTCTGACATTATTCCCTATTAATACAGTCAAATAATTATACATATGTCACCAAAATTGGGTTATTGCTACATTTTTGAAAGCTTTTGTTCTGATAGTTTAATTTATTTTAAGCCTGATCATTAAACGAGCCAGTTAAACAAATTAAAAAAAAAAGAAAGAATTCTAACCTTCATTTCTGTGGACATCAGGTGGTGATTGCCCAAACGTCCAAAGTGTACAGTCTTGCTACATTCCTCACAATACTTAACAGGTTCTTCACCTTAAATAAAGAGACCATCTAAGCCCAGATGTAATATGCAAAATGAAAGTTTTCAAATATATTACTGAGATATATTACTGAGATACTGTATGAAAAGCAACTATATATGTAATATTCTTTGCTAAGGTTTGATAAAATTCTTCATTTATCTTATTATCATTGTTTTGGCAAAAACAAAGACAACACCTTTAGTGTGCTGGAGAAAACTTATTGGAGTGAGGAATGATACAAGAATTCATACAAAACACTAATAGGATTTTGCTAAGGGGAGAATCATTTTATATATATATACATGAATACATAAATTGGCAAGGAAGATAGATGTAAAATTACTGTACATAATGGATGTGTACATATAGTTTGGGACACAGAGATGGAAGATTGTTTTTTGTATCATTCTGCTTGTTATAGTGTTTAAAACAGAGAAAGGGAGAAGGTAGGTACCCCTTGAAGCTTGGGGAAGGGGGAGGGCACGACTCACGATACCCCGTTTTTTACCCCCCCCNTTTTTTTTTGTGTGTGTGTGAAGAGACATCTAAGTACATTTAAAACTTTCATTATGTTTAACAGTTGAAGTGAGTATACTCAGCTATTTTCAGATTTGTCAAACTGATGAGAAGGTGTAAGCCATTAACTTTACAATAAAATTATTGAAGAGAATAATAAGGGAAATACTCATCCATATGAAAATAGTTTATTGCCGTTGTTATTTATTAATGAATATAACATGAACGTGACATCGTAAACACTGTGTTGTCAAGTAAAATGAAGCGTCTGATACAAAGTATCAAATGCGGCATTCACGTGCTTGCTTGCGGTGCGTTCAGTACACTGTTTACACTGACAAGTCAAGGTCAGAAGTGCACAATTTTTCTGTATAATATAACGCAGTTTCAATTTTGATTAGTGAATTTTCTTCAAGCTGTAGACCCTATGGCCATTTTCTGAACATTTGTATAAGCTACGAAATATTTCTCAGTCTAAATTTCTCTAAGTCCAAATGAGTGGGGTTACGACGCACTTCCGGTTTTCGTCGAAATCTAAACTACAGCAGCACATTCAGGGCGTTCTACCTCAAAATATACGCAGCCGCTTTGATTGGAATTTACAACACTTATTCTTTACATGACATAGCACCTACGTGCATAATTTGTGAGCTTTAGCTGTCATACATTTTCTAGTGCCAATTCAAATTGGAAAAGGAGCTATTCCAACGATTTCTTGAAGGGCAAGTCTATGAACGTGCTACAGTTGTCGTATGGAATCATAGTCGACAAACGTTGTCGAAAATCTGTATCGATCATACAGAGTTACAGACAAGTTGATAATGTGTGTTTATCTTATAGATAATTGTTTTATTTCCTTAAATTGATAAAACAGACTGGTGTCGTTAGAGACGATTGACGATGCGCTGAAATTGCGCAAATCGTCAAATTACGTAACGACCGAACTACCTTAAAGGTAAAAACATAGTCAATTTAAATTTTATCTTACCCATGTCCCTCATGAGGTTAGTGAAAGTACATAAATAAAACATTTATTGAATAAATAATCTAAAAGATTATTTTAAGACTATCAAAATAACACTAAAACATTAAATCAATTAAGACTATTAAAACAATAATGATAATAATAATCCTCATTTTTTGATAAAACATAAATAGGATGACTTACCTTTGAAATGTATTCACGTTTCTTATGTCGATCATTATCAAGATTATTTACCTTGCAAGGCTCTAAAGCTCAGGAAATATTGACATTAGTTTCACTTCAAATCTACTTTTATTTGAAGGATTTTATTGTTGTTAAAGCTTTGGAAAGATCAATGGCTTTGAAACATTTCCAAATGCATATATGATACCTTAAATAATACTTTCACGTTACATAACAAAAACATCTCAAATGTATGACCTTGAAAATTCTCCTATCTTTGTCTGTAAATCTTCTTTCTTTTTCTACAAGACACAAGAAAAATTTATAAAAATAAATATATTTGTACACACTTAGCAATATAACTATTCATAGCAAATTTTATAAATAGGGACTCTGACATTATTCCCTATTAATACAGACAAATAATAATACTTATGTCACCAAAATTGTTATTGCTACATTTTTGAAAGCTTTTGTTCTGATAGTTTAATTTATTTTAAGTCTGATCATTAAACGAGCCAGTTAAACAAATTAAAAAAAAATTCTAACCTTCATTTCTGTGGACATCAGATGGTGATTGCCCAAACGTCCAAAGTGTACAGTCTTGCTACATTCCTCACAATACTTAACAGGTTCTTCACCTTAAATAAAGAGACCATCTCAGCCCAGATGTAATATGCAAAATGAAAGTTTTTAAAGGAGATATGTTACTGAGATACTGTATGAAAAGCAACTGTATATGTAATATTCTTCTGCTAAGGTTTGATAAAATTCTTCATTTATCTTATTATCATTATTTTGGCAAAAACAAAGATAACACCTTTAGTGTGCTGGAGAAAACTTATTGGAGTGAGGAATGATACAAGAATTCATACAAAACACTAATAGGATTTTGCTAAGGGGAGAATCATTTTATATATATACATGAATACATAAATTGGCAAGGAAGATAGATGTAAAATTACTGTACATAATGGATGTGTACATATAGTTTGGGACACAGAGATGGAATATTGCTTTTTTGTATCATTCTGCTTGTTATAGTGTTTAAAACAGAGAAAGGGAGAGGGTAGGTACCTCTTGAAGCTTGGGGAGGGGGGAGGGCACGACTCACGATACCCCGTTTCTAACCCCCCCCCCCCCCCCGACCCGCCATTGTTATAACAGCAAATGTGCTTTAAAGTGTTTGAGTGAAAAATACCATACAAAATTAAGGCAATAAGAATGCACACGAGAGTCATGCATTGTGCATTTACTAGACACTGCCAGGTCACATCCATCATGCTATAAAATTCACTACCAAGGAGCTATAACCAGGGTTAACGTAGATTTAAATGTGGACTTAAAAACCACAAGTTGAAAATGGCGCCAGCAATGAGACGAAGCTGCTCCTTGTGGGTTTTTAAACAAAAGTTTTTCAAAACATGCACTTCAAAGCTTAAATGCTAACAGGGCCTTATAAAGAAGTACCTTGACCAGCACATGTTCTGCACTCGAGCGTGCTCTCACGCTCATAGCATCTTTCGCATGACATCTTTCAATCTTCATTCACAACATGTGCCAGAAAGCCAAAATTGCTCAGAAATTAGGTCAAGTGTGGTCACATGACAAGTATGGCGGACAGCGAAGAGGAAAGTTCACCTGTGTCTCAAAATTCGGATGTTATTCATGGTCCACGAGTTGTTACAATTACTAAGACTGAAACAGGGTTTGGCTTTAATGTCAGAGGCCAAGTCAGTGAAGGCGGACAGCTGAAAAGCATTAATGGCGAACTGTATGCACCGCTACAACACGTTAGCGCAGTGTTGGAGGGAGGAGCAGCCGAGAGGGCAGGGATACGGAAAGGGGACAGGATCTTAGAAGTGTAAGTTGACAGTTGGTGAATTCTCTCTACATTTTTCTAACCTCAACCCTCATCCTGATTGACGCGCCAAGTTTTTTCGACTATTTTTACTGAATGATGCTGGGGGAAATCTATAACGGATGACCTGCAAGATTGAACCCGATTAAAACATGTTTACACTTACTGATTTAGGTCATAGACTAAAGCAACATGCATGCATATTATAAGAACCGGTGATAAGATATAAATTTAGATTATTATGAGTTTTAAATTTCTTGAATATTTTGTTTTGTCTGAGGTTTTTAACAACAGTGTAACATTTTAATTAGTATTTTTGGGTATGTTAAAGTTTTTCAGTAAATGTTATCCAGGCCAGTTATATGCAAAATTATATCAAAATATATTTCTTTTATAGTTTTAAGGAAAATATTTTAACAACTGTTGTGCATGGGCTAACTAGTGTATTGGTGTTTCAATATGACATATGTAATGTTAAGGAAATTTTTTGGTTGTGAATGAGAAATGAAAATTGATATTTATTTTTGAAAATTAAAGTTGGGATTCATATTACAAACATTTATTTCACACACACACACACACACACACACACACACGCACATGCACGGTTTTGTAAGACATTGATTAGATATGCTGCTAGTCTGGGTGGTACTTGGTGATTGTTGAAAATGTCATTGTTTTTGTACAGTATTATTACTGCTGTAATTGCATATACCATATGTAGGTAGTTAGGGTGTCGTTACCAGTCTATAGTTACATAGTTAATTATCCTGGGTAATTCTTTTGGTTTTAATCTGGAATTTAATAGTTCACAATTTGTACTAGGTTAAAAAAACTATAAGCCATCCTGCTCCTAATTATGCTGTTTCTTCCCTATATGTACTGAGTATGCATCTCAGGGACAGCTATGATGTCAATATGCACGCCCACTTGTGTATCTGCAGGATATTTATAGTACTTCATTGATGTAACTAATACATGTTGGAGCAACTAAACTATTAAAAATTTACCAATCTTTCTATGCTTGGGTGTAAAGATAGCCTAGGACAACCCAAAACTGTATTGGTTAATTAAAAATGTTTGAAAAGCCGTTAATAGTAACTGTACAGAAACATATTTCTATACTAGTATACTAGTATACTATTTCTCATTCTTGCACTTTGTTGGGCAGTAAGTTTCTTATGTAGTTAATTTTCTTATATACTTATTTTAACTGTTATAATTAATATGAATGGCTTTTTTATTAAAAAAAGTTATTGTACTCATTCTTTGTGAAGTATATGTTATCATTAACATTGCATCAAGTTAGAATGTTAAGGACAGGTGATGGATATGTGTGTTTCATTTTCAGGCTTTTACATTTAACATTGTTGTCTTAATATTTGCTTAAATTGGAATTTTGGGTTGTTGTTGTGTCTTGCTTCATTTTGTATAATAACTGAAAGCATGAAAACTGATTGAGAAATTACTGTAAATTTTTCTAGGAAATTTTGATATATAAAATATATTTCAGAATATTATTTGAATATGTCCTTAATATTAGCAATAGGCATGTTGTTAATTTTTTTTTTTTATTTGATATTCATGATATTTTTTATATATGTTGTTGTGGTAAGATATCAAAGAAATTTTATATTGAATGTTTAACAAATGCTCATTTGCAAATTATAAGTTTCAGCTGAGATAAGATGTACGAGTATATATATATATATATGATTTGAGTCACAAAGTTGCATGTCAGCAGGCAGTATATTATACTGGCACCAGTTCAGTATTCCCATTTTTAAGAAAATGATAGTGTCTGTCACTGGTATAAGTGATGAGAATGCAAACTGTATGCAACTGGATTATGAAATACACAAAAGCTCTAATAATATGAATTAAGTCAACAAAGTCATTGTAAATTGGTTTCTTCCTCAAGTTTTCTTTGTGAGGATTCTTTTCACAAATGTTTTAAATCTTGGTGTGTAGTTTTGACCCTTTGATTTGATTCTCATTCAATACTGACATCATGTTTGTCTACAAAATGTTCCTATGAATAGTTATCCTCTTTGCGGGGTTTTTATAAATGTTTTTAAATGTGGTTTGTCTGCATTGTCTGTCTAATTTACATTTTCTGACATTTTCACATTACACTGCTGAGGTCTGCTGTTCTCATATTGCCATGTAAGGTTTGTATATTGTTTTATAGAGACTTGTTGATCTTATGGTCAATGACAACTTGTTTTCTGAACAAAGGAGTATGGATGTATACTAGTAGTTTTACTGGCTATGCTTCTTTGGAATGTTTCTAGATTTTATACTTGGTAATTATTTAATTTGAACAACATTTATTAATAGCCTCCCCCCCCCTTCTGAAAACTCACACACAAATGATTTGTAGGCAATACTTAAGAATGTTGATTCAAAAGTTATTCAGTTTTGTGTAAGAAAGTAAACTGTAATGAAGATATAGAACAAGTGAAAAATTAAATACTAGAAAAACAAGGCCTTTGAAAGTTTTAAGTTATCTCTGTATTTTCATTGTGTTTCTAAGTTATATTCCTAAAATTCCAGAGGGCTGTGGATCCTATATTTCAATTACTATTTTATTTCAACATCCTGTTACAGACATTACATAGTTAATGACTATGTGGTCTTTGAACCATAGAACAGGGTTAACATTTTCCTGATGTTGAAATATTGTGGCTTAGTTTTGTAAAGTATATTTTCAAAATCAACACTCTTTCTTGCTTTTGGCAGACAGTCATTTCTTTATATGATTCCTTCAGTCTTTTGAGTGATTATTTTCTGAGCAAATGATTTAGTCTATCCTATCATTGTTTTCTACTGCAATAGGGAGAGGATTGTTCAATTGTTTTATTTACGCAATGTGCTTTTAAGAAGGAAACATGGCCTACATACAGCAAAGAAACATTTTTTAAGGGACTGTTAACAAATGATGATATATTTTTTGAATTTAGATACCATAGCATAAACTTTTTTATGCATCTGTTTGCTATTCATCTTCATTAGATTTAATCAATGGCTGCTTGCAGAACAGAACCAAACCAAATCTTTGAATGAAACTGATGATAAATACTTTAAAAAGAATATTGCATTTTTCACAGACTGCAGATGTAAATAACCTCTTGCATCTTGGGAATATTTAGTGTGCTGCCATGGGCCAAGCAATTTTTTTTCACAGAAAAAAAGGTTATCACTTCAAGAAGTAAATACTTGATCACAGCATTTCACGAAATGCAGTCCCTAAGATAATGACTGATTCAGCACTATGAAGAGAGGTCATATTACAGAACTTTTATTTTATTATTAAAATAGCATTTTTTTTATTATTTGCAACTGTCTGGTTAGTAAATACTGTAGGCACAATTCATTTTAGAAGTTTACAAGCAACCGTAGGTACTAACACATACAGACTTAATTTTTTTTAGCTTTATATAGTACCTGATTGCAGTAAAGTGAATGTAAGGCATTTCATTGTTATCACGCATAGTGCTACAGCGTAATCTTTGCCTTTAGCAGCGGGTGGATAACAGAGACATTTGTCTGTGCTTAACACAATGTTAGCCTGTCATTGTTTCATATAATCCTTTATCTCTAATTTGTCAGCTTCATCAAAGTTGAACACATCAAACTTCACTTGTAGAAATAGGACAGCTTAGATTAGTTGCCTGTCATGTCATGTCAACCCAAGCTTGAACTTCGAAATTAGATATGCCATAATTAACAGGAAAAAAAGACTTTGAGAAGCATATAATGACAGTTACTGTTATTTCCCTGTAATTTCATCAGCACTTTTTTATATTAAGATAAATTACCAGGTAATATTTTAAGGATTAGTTAATTTGCTGTTTAATAATAATTATTATTTGCTTTTTCTTTCTTCTATTTATTGACATCATTTATAATGTGTAACCAAAACAATTAGAATTTTTTATGTCAGATTGAAATTAACTTACCATTTTGAGAGACATTAAAATAAGTGACAACTTACAACCTAAATTTTAGAATAAGCTTGAATTTTTTTGAGTTTATGGGCATGCCGACCATTTGGCGGATAATCAAGGCAAGGGCTGGTGTTCAGATTTTTGGGATATTTTATTGACAAAAAATCTCAATTGTGTTGCCTGTGATGTGAAAACTATCCTATCAGTTGATGTTTCTATTGGAGGTGCATTTTTCATGGGGATATCATGTACTGGAATGTTACTTTTGGTTTACTTTTTTCTTTGACATATTTAAAGTGAAAAGATTTTGATCATTAATAAGGGCTTTATATCAAATGGTGAGTGTGTTTGGGGGGGGGGGCTAATTACTTAATTACCATTATGAGAAATTAAATAAACGATTGTCAACATTAGTTTTTGAGAAGTAAATCACAAAATAAAACGAAATGGACTTTTTAAAAGAATAGCATAATAACAGCTTTTGCAACAGAACAGGATCTAAGAGACCATTCCCACAGATATTTAGATCGATTTATCCCCTTGGGGAGTCTCACGAGATTGCTGTCATCTTAATCGGCTTAAATGTCTGTCCTGCCTACTAAAGGCTGTAAGGGGGTAATTAACTTTTGTGCGCCTTCGGCTCCCAGAAGCTGACAGCAATTTAGTGTGAATCCCCAGGGAGTTAGGTCAGTCCAGATGAATCGATCTAAATCTGTGGGAACCCAGTCAAAGCTACATGGAGGAGTATCTCCACCAGTACTTTGATACTCAGGGTGACTTTG